GCCTTGTGTATTTCTCGATATCCCGCTGTGATGTCTCGACCAAGTTTAAGCATAGAAGGGTATGTGTAGTGCTTGATTCCCGTAGGTTTGGTCTCTGGAGATTTAGGGTGCTGGGAAATATCGTGATGGTTTTTCCTGGAGTTGGGTCGTTCCTGAGAAGGAGAATTAACGCCAGCATGAGAACCAGCAATTTTGAGCAGGTCGTCGTCGGTTTTTGAGTCGGGTATCGGTAGACACATATTCTAACATCTTCAACTTTCAAAGAAGGATGGGCACGGTGGCTGCAAGCATTGGTTTCACAAGCCTCGAGGCTGAGAGATGCCCCGCATCTCTACTTTCTTTCCCACATGTACGGTACTAGTTAATGGCTTCATCGGCCCATCTTTCCGGCACTGATGAGTTGACCTCTGCAGCATTCCTCAGCAAGAACGGAAAGATGTCTTTCTAGAACAACAATGTGGGCTCTTTTAACCACTTGAGCGTTCACCTCTCAGGGGAGAATCCGATCCTTGCATGGCTATCTCCGCTCGAACCTCGGATACAGCACGAGGTTATACAAGCAGATCGGGTCTCCAATGTAGGTGACCGGCTCCTACAAACGGAGGCATTTCGAACCTGGTCCGATGTTTCTCGCCAGGATCATCAACACGGCAATGCGACTCTATTTTACTATGGCCATCCCGGATCTGGAAAGACCTATATCACGTAAGAGAGACGACTTCTGAGAGGAAAAGCAAAGATTGGTATTACTGACAGGTCGCGATTTTAGTTCCTTAGTGATCGACAAGTTGGGCGAGCCGGCCAACGATCAAAACACTATTGTCGCCTCCTTCTACTTCGCCTCCCAGAAGAAGCAGTCTCCAAGAGACATGCTAGGTGCTCTGCTTAGACAGATAGTTTTTGGATTAGCAGAGATTCCAAGAGAGATAGCCAAGGCATATTTCGACAGTAAACGGGTCTCGGGTGGCCCCCGACCACTGCTTCCTGAAATTATCGAGATGTTCCAAACCGTCCCCACCTCACAGCACATATTCATCTGTGTCGACGCCCTGGATGAATGTGTGGCGAGAGATCGATATACAGTTCTCGAATCGTTACAAGAAATCCTAGAGAGATCGCCGAGTACCCGATTATTCCTGACTGGAAGATCGAATATCCGGAGTGATATTCAGTGTCGTTTTGCTGAAGCGGTGACCTTCATCGACATAGGGGCCAACAGAGGAGATAACGTCAGATATATCCTTGCTAAACTTGAGAAGGACGCCAATAAAGACGCGATGAATGACTGTCTAAGGGCAGAGGTCCTAGCTGAGATCCCAGCAATGTTTTCGGAAATGTACGTAAGAGTAGAGACATTGGGAACCAACCGTAGCAATTCACTGACGATATATGTCCAGACTCCTGGTGTCTCTGACGGTGGAGGCGATTTTAGAGGAACAGAAGATCTCAACCAGGCGAGATAGGCTACAGGAAATGACGAGTAGCTTGGGGGGCGTCCACGCTAGAATGCTGCGCCGGGTAAAGGAACAGGACAAGAGTAAGGAGGAGATTGGGATGGCCGCTCTCATGTGGGTTTCGCATTCGGAGCGGCCGCTGAGTGTGGACGAACTCTGCCACGCCCTCGCCGTCAAAATGGGATCAACGGACCTCAAACTCGACAACGCCCCTTCAATAAAGACACTGCTAGAGTGCTGCCAAGGACTTCTTATGGTGGATAAGGAGGCTGCTGTCCGCTTGGCCTTTTCAACTCTCCAAGAGTACCTTTCTACTTGCCCCGGCCTTTTCGATAAAGCTCACTCGAAAATCGCGGAAACCTGCTTGACCTATCTAAATTTCCAACGGTTCAAGGGTCTCTCGACCAGTGACCTCTCTGACCCCGAGCTGGAAACCTTCCTCGAATACTCTTCTAGATACTGGGGAACCCACGCAAAAAGAGAGCTCTCGGACTGCGCTAAATCGCTCGCGCTGGAGCTATTGGACGATTACAGTGACCACATATCCGCTAAATCTCTCTTGAGGCAGGTATTGGGCCCCAATCGCTTTAGTGATATCAGGAGCTTTTCCTCATTCACTGGATTGCACTGTGCATCCTTCTTTGGAATTGTTGACGTTGTGGTTCCGTTGATGGAGAGGAATGGTTGTGATGTTCACCAAGTAGATTGTGTGGGTAATACACCCCTCGAATGGGCTTTCCGGGGTGGTCATGAGGGAATAGTAAAGCTTCTGCAGGATGCCACCCCCGATACACCACGCAGGCCCAGCCATACACCACCACCCCACGCCACTAGCCTCAAGCGCGAAAGGGTGGATGAACAACTACTTCCAGAATCCGGCGCCCCAAAACGGCTACGGACGACCTAGATTCGAAGAGACATAAGCCCTCTTGCCGCTTCGGACATGGGCATCTGTTCCCGCAGCGATGCCCCTATGGGTATCCTCACTACTCTGGTCATCACCACTCTCTCCCTCCTTTATGACTTTTTCCACCTCTGAGAGCGACGAAGCTTTCCTGTGGACATCGGTGTCCCTCCCTCTAGGCCATTTCACAAGCCTGGCGTTGGAAATCTTCTTCTGCTATGATCGGTCGGGGGAGGTCCTATATTAATTTATTGAACCGCCGGGGGAAACAAAATAAGTAGGAGAACAATATTGGGTATGCAAGTAAACGTATGATATGTGTTAACTTCTACTAGCTAACAGGACAATAGGAGGGTTATATACCCGGATGGGCAACACCTCCGAGCACTTCCTCGGCACCCTTACTATTTTCGCTCCCACCAGAAACATCACACAACGAAGGAAAACATCAGTCATCCGATCATGCCCTCTGCCCTTCCGCATTCTCCCACACACTCCCGTAATCCCTCATGAGACTCTACTCTCCTGTACAAACACCCCCGTCACACTCCAACTCTCAAACAACTTCCATCATTCACCTGCTTTTATCCGGAATGTTTCACACTCTACGAGATTGTAGGAGGTGCTTGTTTGAAGTCCCTCTGGTATTTGTGAGTGCAGTCGAGTTAGTATTTATAAGCATTTATTCCTAGATTTCGCGGGGGAAGGAGTAGAGTGTTATTGTATTGGGATGGCCCTGTTTATAGCTTAGGCTCCTATCCTTTGTATTTAACATCGTTGTTTGTAGTTTTCGCTTCCCCTTCTCGCGCACTTTTTATGTCTCCTATCCCTTCCTTTCTTTTTTTTCCCCTCCCCTCAACGACCGGTGTAGACTCGCGTTAAAAAGTATGGACACTATAAGAGAGTGGCAGCACAAAAGTTAATTGCAATCAGATCCTCGAGCTCGGTATCCCTGTTCTAGTCTATCGTGGTGGAGGGTCGAAGTTTCGAGTATTTAATGCGCACACTTTTGCCCAGGGCCTGAAGTATGGGACGGAGACACAAGGGCTAGAGGTATGTTTATAGATCTACTGTACCGCAAAAACTCGAATAGAAGATAAATGTATTAGGGCGTTGCAGTTTCCTCTCCTGCTCGAGTAGTAAGGCGCCGCGAATATTCCTTTGTTTCGTTCTAACTAATGCCGCCGGGGTTTGCGATGTTTCCCTCTCCCGTAGCCAAGAGGGGGGGATTTCAACCTCCTAGCGAGTGCTTGACGTGCGGGTCAGGTCTAAGCTCCCCCTCTCCCCCCTCTGTAGCCTTTTTTTCGCTAGTAATGGGACTACTTACATTCCGCTCTTGATGCACGTCCACATGCACATGCACTCAACGCCCGAGCAGCCTACACCGAAAGCTCGTTAAATCCATTGCCTCCTGAATGTCCCCGGAGACGGAACGTCCCGGCGAGGAATAGAGTTCCCCTGACGCGGTACAGCTCGGGCAAGCTGAGCTTGTCACTTCTCATCAACCGGCATTCGTCGCTTTGCTACGAGTCCCAAGCGTATAGGACCTAAATGCAGGGAGAGGCAAAAGGATTGTTTCTATACATATCTGAGCGCCCATACTAAATTCAGACCCAAATGTTCGAGTTCATGCCGGGGGATCTATAACCTCCTTTGCTAAGCCTATTGCAGCTTGGAACAGTGATTCCCACTGTTGCAAAATCCGATAGCAGACTTAAGGCGCTTCCACGGCGAGACCCAAGCCATAGAAGGTGAATTCTAGACCACTGACAAGATTAGCCATTTCAAATTTCACCATTAGAGGCGGTTTAATTGAGCGTCCTGATTTCGCGCCACGGGGGTTGTCGAGAGTCCTAACAACCTGATCGAACGCATCCGAGCCGCTATCAATGCCTTATCTCCTAGGGCTACCGAATTCCAGTATTCTACCGAGTGATACGACATGACCACTGAGCCCCCTACTCCTTCCCACCCCTCCCGAAATAAGCCCCAAGAGATGAGAATACCAACGACGCCGCAAGCGCCGGAAAATCTACCTTTCTTTCTTTCTTTCCATTCCTTTCCTTTCCTTTTCGGATTCAGGATTGCAATTTATTTCCACAAACATAGCTTACTAGACTTATATATATCTATCCACTTTTGTTTTCTTTTTGTCTTTGTTTCGCTCAAGAGTGAGGGTGTGCGAAACCCCCCCGCGTTGCGGAAGATAGGGCGATTGCGCTTCGTGTCCATGGTGTAATGACTGGCGCCCGGCTGTCATATGCTCGTACTGTAGAAGGGAAAAAACGGGGGTGTCATATCATACCGATTCTTGGGTAGGAGGACTGGAGAAAATTTTAACTGTCATCATAATGGTATTGTCATGAGTGGGTTGATAATAGTCACGGGGTATTCGTGTTTGGGCCTGGGCGCTTCGGTGTGTGGGGGAAGGGTGGTTGAGTTTTTTCTTCTTGTTTTCCCCCGTCCGGGAAAAAGGGATATCTAGTAGCGAGCGAGTGAGGGGCTGTGAAGGGAGGATTGAAAGGAATTCTTGGCATCTTTTTTGAACTTCTGCAGCTTCGGTGAGGTGTATCTATGATACCCGACCAACCGAGCGAACAGCTAGCTATATGGCTAATGAACAAAAGAGTCCGGAGAAGGACCTACGTGAACATATCCTTATTAGGATCGACATCATCGCAATCAGTAGTGCTAACGACCTCCCTCCACCCTTCAAGCATGTCTTCCCCCCTCTTCAAAGCCGCCTCAACGAAAGCAACAGCGTCCCTGCCAACAACCCACCTCTCCGGTAGAACCCTCCCAGCACCCCTCCCCCTCCCGCTAAGCATCTCAACCACCAACTCAGCCCCTTTCTTCGGATCGCCAGGCTGCTTCAAGCTAATCCCTCTCAATCTCCCGCGAGCAGCGTGCATCAAATCCTCGTATTCAGGAATGGCCCTCTTAGCCTCGAACGCCCTCCCATCCTCCAAAATCGCCGTGCGAAAATAGCCCAACTCGACGCAGGTAACGGTGATGCCGAAACTCGCCACCTCCCGCCGAAGACTGAGACTGAAAGCGGCGAGCGCGTGCTTTCCGGCGCTGTAGGCGCCAAGGCAGGGACCCCCGCCCCAGCCAGCGATCGAGCCGACGTTGGCGATGACGCCGCTGCGCCGGGAGCGCATGTGCGGGAGGACGGCCTGAGCGATGGTGATGTGGCTGAAGACGTTTATCGTGAAGTGTTCCTGGAGTTCAGCTGCTGTGTAGGCTTCCACGGTTCCTATCGTGAAAACTCCCGCGTTGTTCACGAGATAGTCTATCGGGCCGTGGTCACTGATGCTGCTGGTTATGGTGGCCTGGATGGTGGCCGGGGGGGATGTCAAGTCGAGGGATAAGGGGATCGCCCCGAGCTCGGTGAGGTGTTTGAGGGCTGAGGGGTTACGAGCGGTACAGATAACTTTATCGCCCGACGCGAGGACCGTGAGAGCAAGGGCGGAGCCGAAACCGCTAGAGCACCCCGTAATGAACCAAGTCTTGGGAGTGGCGGAAGAAGCGGTGGTGGCAGAGGCAGACATTGGTTGACTGGTGGTTTAGGAGTCCCAAGAGGAGTGAAATGGAGGAAAGTGGAGAAGGCTGATTATTTATTCTGCAGAGCCGATCGAGCCGCAATAGAGGTATGATAAAAGTAGCAGTATGTAACGGTAAAAGAGTATCATATTCAGCCCGCAGGTCTCCCCCAAGAGGGGTGCGAGCCCCCTTATATACACTTCCCCACCCCCCATCCCTCTCCCCTCAACGCTCCTCAATCACGCAAAACCCTACATCCAAACCCGTTCCCAATCGAGCGAAAAGCTACACACCCAAACATTGACACCGGCCATATATCCCGCAACTTCATGTTATCATAATTAAATCTCCCAGGGAACCGGACAAGGGTCCCATGGCCAGGTGTACTATGATAATAATAATATTACTATTATAAATATTATCATAGCACACCAGCGTTCGTAAAGTTCTCATGCCCTTCCAAGTACTGTACTGTACTACAAACCCTTGTAAATGCTCTGCCAGACCCCCTTTCCGCCATTCATTATGATAATAATATTATTATGAAACGAATTATGATAAAAACCTACAGGGCCCCTAGAGGTGCATCACAAAGCGGTTATCTAGAGGGATCCGGTTGTTCTGCCGCCTCCACCCACACCATATGATACTACCCCTAATGCACGATCCGATCGTCTAATAGCTGCTATCATACCTCACTCGCACCCTAACCCAAAGGGAGAGGGAAGCGAAGTGGGAAACACCACTAAAGGATTTTCACGACACCCAACGCCAGCAGGCCACGATTGCCCTTCCTTCCTCGCTCGCCGGGAGCTGACCCGCACCGCCCTCAAAAAAACACTACGCCCCTAGAAAGTTGGGATGAAGGCGAGCAAGTGTGATAAAAGGGAAAGTGTTTGTGCAAAACACCCAAGTGTGCAGAACACCACAGCGAGCCAATTCCCACGGGGGAATACTCCCTGGTTTCCGTTCACGGGCTCGAGTGGGAATGCTGAACGGGTTAACCCGGAACGGGAGAATTGTGCTCGTATTGTATTGTTTTTCCTTTTTCTGTACATATCATACTCCCTTATGATAGGCCCAATTTACGGACGCAGCGCTTGGAACGACGAGAAATGTGGTGAGCAGAGCCGCCAAGACAAACTAGGCGAGTGAGGAACTATGATGCGGAAACGCATGACACGTTCGTTGCGCCACACCAAATAAATATCCCAGCAACGCTGAATTACCGAGGCTGCTAGAGGCAACAACTAACCAAACCACAACACGGGTTCCTGGAAAACGAACTCTGATCTCACCGATCCCCTGCTCACCACCACCATTCATCAACAACTACTACGGAATCACCACAATCGTTACTAAAATGCCGGCCGAAACCCCTAAGCCCCCTACTTCCGCTACCACCACCACAGCCGACATCCCGACGGACCTGAAGACCATACACGAATCCTCCCCAAACCCATCAAAGCAGCTGCCGCTTCCCGGGGCCCGGACACGCAAGGAGCTCCGCGAGCAAGCCGCTAAATTCCTCGAAACTAGCAGCGTCAAGAATGCGCCATGGGAGCAGAAGAAGGAGTTCTTGTTGGAGAAGGGGCTGACGGGGAATGAGATTGAGGCTCTAATGGAAGAGATGGAGAGGGTGCAGAAGGAGAAGATGAAGGAGGCGGTTGTCACGAAGGAGGAGGTTAGGGTGGTTTTGGAGAGGGGGAAGGGGAAGAAGAGGGTTTGTACCTCTTTCTTTTCCTTCGGAAGTAGCCTGTCGTGGCGATGTTAACGGTGATGATAATAACCCCAGGAACAACCTTCTACGGAGGTAACAAAGCCCAACGCTAACGATGAAACGAAACACCCCCCCGAAGACTCCGGCCGGGAGAATAAGGAGACCACTGCTACTACGGCCGCTGCCTCTCCCCCGCTAATAACCTACCCAGAATTCCTAACCCCTGCACCACCTCCACCCCCACAGCCCCTAGTTAGCACCTCCAACATCCTCAAATCCGCATACTTCGCCTCAGCCATAGGCAGCACAATCTACGGCGCGCACAAATTTATCTTCACACCCATGTACTCCGCACTCACAGACGCACGCCTAGACCTCTCCTCAGCGGCACTGAAGAACCTCACGGAGCTAAACACCCGACTACGCGAGCTCGTCCCCTCAACACGAGTCCAGCACCCCACCGCCAACAGTAACAAAAAACACTACTACCCCTCCTCCCCCCACTCTTCTTCCTCCTCCGATGACGAAGACGATAGCAGCAGTACCTCAGACCCTAGCGAACTATTCCACGTCGATGCCACGACACAAACAAGCCCATTACCGGACTACAACCTCAACACCTCCGATGAAGCCGAGGACCTAACCCCGGACGGGAAACTGGAACACCTATCAACGCAACTCCACGCCCTCGTCGAGAGCCACTCAGACGGCATGGACAACGAGCTCACATTCGCGCTCGAGGACCTAAGGAGCTACCTCGAGAGCCTCACCTACGACTGGAGCAGTTCCAGCATTTTTACCTCGCCCTACGATTACGGTGGGGCGAAGGGCAAGGATGACGCTGTGTCGAAGGTTAAGGCGGAAATTAGGAGTGTTAAGGGGGTTTTGTTGAATACGTTTGTCTTCCTATCCCGCATTTTGGGGGCTTCGTCTCTTAGTGCTGATTTTTGTTGTTTGCAGGAAGAATTTCCCGGCGTCGAGGTGATGGGTCGTGGTGTGCAGTAGTGGTATGAGCGCCAGGTTGTGTCGAATCTGGATGAGTGGATGGGATATCAATTTTGCCAAATTTACGCTAATAGTTATATCCTTGTTTTCGCGCCATAGTGTAATAGAGTTCTCTCCTTTCCTTTCCTTCTCATTCTTGCCCTGGTACACAACCCAGCAATTGAACGATGTAGTCTGTTCCATGGCAACTACGAATGCGACCGAGTGATCCCCAATGACCCCTCCCGCAGGCCCGGGTACTGTACAGCACAATGTACGAGTTGTGTAGCCCGACAGAGTTTTGGTAATAATATCGTAAATTAACGTATTACGCCCACAACCATAGCAATGCCCCTGATATAGAGAAGAAAAAGGCAATCCCATCCATCCAATCGATCCATCGCCTATCGTACAAAGCAGTCCGTGCACCCCAAACCTACCTGTTTTTTTTATTTAGAAAAAAATAGTTCAAGGATAATAGTAAAAATTTTAGTGTAGAAAAGGGATCCAGAATCAGAATCAAACTAATCACGATAAACCACGTCTGTTTGAAAAAAGAAAAGACAGAAAAATCGCAACTGGCTCCACCATCACCTGTTCCGCCAATTCTATCTCCCCTATACTTCACCCCAACCATTTCTGTGCCCGTGCATTCACTCAGAGGCCTCTAGAAAGATCGATATACCGCGGGGAAGCTAGAAGAAAAGAAAAATTGTGAGTTCGTCGCCTTCATCTTTTTTTTCTTCCCATCTTCTTTTATCCCAACTCCCCCGATCCCGCCGGGTTTCGTACAGGGGGAAGCAACCATAGCCAACTAACTGGAGACGGGAGTTCCTGTATGTTTGGTCTGTCTTTAGGGCAGGTGGAAAAAGGGCGGACAAGATATACTCTTCGTTTCTTTTTCGTGCGGGGATGGGGGAGGATCCGTAACAGAAAGTATCGAGTAAGACTGGGGACAACTAACCACTCTCGTAGTGCTCTGCGACGTATTGCTCAGGGTTCTTCCCCAGAAAGCGGATGAAGTCTTCGATGTGCTCACGGAGCTTAGAAACGGATTGGGGGTCCATATTGGTGTGAGCTAGAAGTTCGGGCATAGAAACTATAAATACCCCAATTAGTCAGCTTCCCTCTACAAACATGCAAAGAAAGGAGCGCAATTACCAAAGAGCCTCAATAGATGCTCCGCTCCATAGAGTTCACTAGGCTCCTTCCCAGGATGCTCTTTGCGAATCTCCATATACTGCTGTCTCTCGAATCTGTACAGCAAGATAGTCCCGAGACTCTTATCAAAGTAAAGCTTCAACCCGGCAAGGACCTCTTCAAAGATATCCATATCCGCCGACCCCTCGCGCTTCTTGGGCATGGATTCTCTATACTTTTGCAAGATCTGTGTAACGGACGGGTTACGGGGGAGAGGGACGAGCTGCTGATTCTTGGTAACGTTCTCCCAATCGTCGACAAGTAATGCCTTGAGGTTATCCGGAATGGTAATTTTGATGTCATGTCTCTTCATAAAGTCCTCTTCCTTCAGACCCGAGTGTTAGCAAGCATCCTCCTCATTATCGGCCAGAAAAAAATAAAACAAAAGGGGAAGGAAAGAAAAAAGAAAAAACCTCAAGGGTAGACCACACAGGGAATCACTACAGACAAACCTTCTCAATTTCAAGCTCCCTTCCACGCTTCTGTCCCCTGGGTGGGAGGGTACCGGAAGCTCCCGGGAGATCTTCAGACCCAGCTTTCGACATCTTCATGCCAGCCTTTGCGTTCGGGGTAGGATTGGTTCTCTTGGAAGAAGGCTTAGTATTATCGTTTAGCTCTTTCTGAAGGCGCAAGTTCTCCTCGTTCATCTTCCTCAAACGGTCCGCGGGAACAAATTCGTCCCAACTGTTTATTTCGGCAATCGTTAGTGTTAATTGACTTTGAGGGAGGGCTAGTGGACCACAGCACGCACACACATAACAAGGTGGGGGAAACGTGAAACAGAAGGGAAAGATAGGGTATAGGACGCAGAGGGAATGTGTAAGAAGGCCACGCCCCAAGAACGCATTGCGCAAAGCACCGCGCAAACCCTAAATATGGTGAGAAGGGGGAGGGAGAGAAAAGGGTACAGAATCCGTCAAGACCAGAAAGGGAAAGGGAGACGACGAACGTGTTTTTCCACCCCTTGTAATGCACCTTGTACTCTGGCAATTCCTTCTTATCTTCAGATTTCTTGACCTCCAAAACCTTTGCTTCATAAAGCATTGGCCCGTGAAAGCACAGTACCCTCTCCTGGACTTCGTAAGTAAGCACCTTTTGAGAGGCAGCCGGGGGCATAGTGGGTGGGCTGATAAGTGGGTCGACTTAAGAGGGGGGGAACTTCAAACTTATATATAAAGAGGTAGATAAGGTAGGAAGGGGGGGAAAGAGAGCTTGGAAAGAAAAAGAAAGAAAAATGGAAAAAAAAAAAAAGGAAATGAAAGGAAATGAAAAAATGAAAGGAGGGAGAAAAGAAGAAAAAAAAAGAAAAAAGCCGTAGAAGGAAAGAAGATGTTGGGGGTACTCGGGAAGGGGGGGGGGTTAAAGGAAAAGTAAGAGGCGGGGAAGGTGGAGTAGGGAGGGGAGGAGGCGGACGGAAAGATATGGGTAAGTGGAAGATATCGGTAATGTAGGAAAGCAGGAGGTAATTGTAGGCAAGTCAGTTAAGTGAGGTAGACAGATAGGTATAGTGTCCAGTTAGTGTTATGTGCAGGGTGGGTGTGGGTGGGGTGTGAGATAGAAGGATATTTGCTAGGATCGGGGGGGTGAAAAAAAGTGGTTTCGAGAAATCCTAAAAAGCGAAAGCGAGGGAAAGGCCAGAACACGGAGGACGCGTTTAAGTGAAAGCAAAGCCGCAATAAATCACGAGAAAATGTACTCATGGAGATATTTACCCGGCCATCATGGTTAATCACTCGTTGGCCTTGATTGGTTGGATAGTATGATACGAAGGTGGGAAGGTGGGAAGGGCGTCCTCGTTGTTATGCCGCGGGTCGCTTGTTCAAAGCTCTGGGACCGAAAAAGAAAAAAAAGCTTGTGCTCCAGTACCGGTACTGTACTAGGACGCATTTATTATATTTGACCGGTCTTCAGGAAATCACGAAACGGGGCGAGAGAAAAGAAAACCCTCCTCTCTCCCACCGAATCGATCAACCAACCCATGTCGTCCACAACAAAAGACCTCGAAACTCAAATCCTCTCCTCTTTCCTCCTGTCTAGGGCTTCGCTCCAGGACATAATCTCCCTTCGACAGTTCACCGAGTTGTTCCCCAAAGACCAGCGTTCGAATCCCCAGGTCAAGCTTCTCTATAGAGAACTCCAGCTTCTCCGGAACAAAACGTGTGAGCGCGTTAAGAAGAACATTAAGCATGAGGCTGCGCTGGGAGTCAAGCAGCGTAGCGAGCTGGAGAAGGAACGGAGGGCGTTGAAACGCGTGGACGATGAGACTATGACTGCTATTGAGGTGGGCTTTTCGCTTCGTTCTTTTTTTTTTTTTTTTTTTTTGGAGCCGGGCCCTTTGTTTTTTTTTGGTCACTGCGAAAGAGACCTTTTCTCTAACCACAACGCTATAGTTATTCGGTGCTGCACCAATGGAACCGAAACTCCCGTTGAAGGAATTGCTGAGCCAGATGAATTCTGCCGTGGAGGATTTGGATGCTGAGTTTAATACTCTTGATGGTGAGTGTGATAAGATGCTCGAGGAGCTCAGGTCCACTATTGGGGATCTCAGTGACCTTCGCTACGGGAAGTTTGCAGCCTCCGACACAGATACGAGGATTGTTCACGATTTAGAGAGCTTGTATGATACTTGCGAAAGAGTCTTGAATTCTCCGTAGTAACTTGTCGGAAAAACAATTAGGCGAGAAAAAAAAAAAATTGAAATTGAAGAGATCAAAGATCAAGAATAAAAAAGAAAAAAGAAAAAAGAAAAAGAAAAAGAAAAGTACATACTTTTCCACCAAGTGAATACCCCTGTGCCCCGTAATACAAAAAAAGGATACCACGTAACACTGCTTTTCCGTCACGAGCGTACATTAAATAGCAATAGCAATAGCATCTCTCTCTGAAATCCATCATACATCTAGAATGAAAACAACTCTTCTTCGTCCAATCCTCTACCTCCCGAATAAACAATTGTAGAGAAAAAAGGGTCTATGAAGTTGCTTGAGGGATTGGCTGTGTGCCAGCACGAGTCGGCTCAGTGGTACGCCTTGAGACCCTTGTCCTGTTTCAACAGTTAGCAAGTGAAAACAAACGGTGAAAATAAAATAAAAATACGCAGAAAGGGAAATCGTACATAATGGTCCTTCCGACTACGCTAATAAGAAGCATGGGGACCCATTGTCTAAACATGAGGGTTAGTATCTTGATTACCGGATAAATCACCCAAGCTCAAGCTTACGGCATAGATTCGTAGTATGTCAAGGCTATACCAGCGTAGGGCCTGACATCCTTAAAAGTACCATTGACGGGGTTGAAAACTCCAGTCCACGCATCAACCTTCTTCCACTCCTCGTTGTAGTGGAACTGCGTGTAATGGTTGACCTGATCCTTAACCCCGATAGTGGTTATGTTCCATGGAAGCTCGCGAATCTCAACAGACCTGTCCGGGTATGCAACGAGGTGATAGAACTGTGGGATTTTGATCTGCGATGTAATGTAAAAATCCCTACAGAGGTCTTTAGAAGCCTCGGTCGCGCAATCCACCTTTCCAAAGTTCACATCCAGATCCTTTGCAAACGTGTAGACAGTATCCTTGGGACAAAGAGAGAAATCGCCACGGTTAGCATCGCGAAAGTATCAAGAGAGGAGGCAGATAGGAAAAATGAATACTCACATTAAAAACGCCATCCCAATACGTAACGTTCTTAGTCCCATTCACAACTGAAGACGTGAAGTAATAATACCACTCGGTCGGGGTGGCGGTTGTGGCCACAGCCTCAGCAGCAGCGGCACTTTCTTTCTGCTCCTGCTCCGTTATTGCACTGCTCGGCTGCACGAGACTCAACCAGTTCTCCGAAGTGACGCTCCTTACTCGGCGCGCGATGAGTACCTCACGATCTTCCACGTGGTCCTCCGGTTCCATATTTTTCAGAGGGACTTGCTTCTCCCCCCCGGTGTTCAGTATCTTGTTGAGGTAGTCTGTCCATTGGGCCGATACACATGTTGATGCACCTGCTAGTAATAAGAGAGGTGTTGAGAGCTTCATTTTAATCTAGGGGATGAGAGCAAGGTGAAGAAGCTGGGGTAAAGTAGGGTAAGATACAGTAAGTTGTGGCAACAGTGGTTTGACGGGAAACACGGTCGAGGTTATGAGAGGAAGATGAAGGAAGGCAGCAAGAGGGCAGGGAGGGATGAAGGAAGGTTGTTGCTAAGAAAGGAAGTGAGAGGCAAGGTCGGGCAATAAATGAGGGGAGGGGAGGGGAAGAAACGCGATGAACGGAGCGATGTGAATAAGTAATTATGGTATGCGAGTGCCCAGGCAACAGGTGGTGTTATGGGATAGCGTTAGCAATAGGGGGCTTTTGTTCATTTGTCCAGTCCTCGAGAGGTTTCTCGTTGATCAGGCACCTGTCTTGTGAGGCTCTAATCTACGAAACGAAGGCCGCTATTGGGGCGATAACCACTCTGCTTGAGTGAGTGAGATTATCATAGCTCATGGCCGCAAGCTTACCAGATTGCAGGCACTATACAGTGCAGTGTGTGTATGCCGTACCAGTATCGTAATTTGGGAGTTAACTTAAGCTGCCTGCTCACGTAACCTTAACTTATGCGGTACTTCCGATGTTCTACTAGCACTACAGATGTTTACCCGTACTACAATAGCGTTTGGTCGTGTGTGGGATGAAGTCTCAGAATGAGCACCGGTATTCTTGAGTAGAGTGGACTCCGTACTCTGGTACCGGTATTTGCACATTCTACCCCTCCATCCTTCACCTGCACACTAGCGCAATACCACACAGAGAGGAATCGCGCTCAGCCTAAGCGCAAATCCAAAGACTTTCTTCACTTTAGAATCATACCAACTATCTAATCGCAACTCCAAATGATCCATCTCATAAACATGCCTTTATGAGCAACCAAGAGACACGAGAAATAAGAGCGAAAGGAGGACCCGATGCTCTGATACAAAAGAAGGGAGGAAAGGAAAATCAAAACCCCATACGAGGCATCACATTATAAAAATCTCGAAGACAGTTTAGCAAGACTTTCCGCGGGAAATCTTTCAGGAGTGGTTGAGGCCTCCGACGATTTTGCTTTCTCAAGTCCCTCTCTATACTTTCTGGCTTGCTTGCTCCGCTCTTTCATTTTCTTCCGTAGATCTCGGGCATACTTCTCATTCGCCATCATGTCTCCCGCATCACTGGGCTCTGGTTCGTCTTGGAATAATTTCTCATCAGACGGCTTCCAAATTCGTCCCCTCAAACTGTTTAGCGCAGCGCTCCTCTCCTTCCGGGCCTTCATCTTTTTCTCAGAATACTGCTTGAGGGCCTCGTCATTTTTCTTGTGCCACTTCTCCCTATTTTCCTGCTTGAGCTTTTGAACTTCCGCCTTCATGCCCTTCGTCTGCACACGTCCAATGTCTATCCACCGTTCCCAGATGCTTTCCCGTCGCCTTTGCCACCTCTGATCCCGTTCTCGCGCTTCCTTCGGAGAGGGCGTCCAGTTCGATTTCAGGATTCTCCGGATAACCTCGGGCGATATTCTGAAAATTTCCGCTAGTTTTTCCGTCGTGAGCTCGGGGACGCTGCTGTGAAGCTCTTTCACCCAATCACGCGCCTTTGGGGAGAGCTTCTTGCGCGGGGCCCACCCCGTGCCAAACTTCTTTTGAAGCGCAGCCTTCTGGACCTTCCAATCCTCGAGCTCGGATCTCGGCGTAGTGGCGACGTAATGTTGGAGCTTCTGTCTAGCGCCCCACTTGTCGGTGTTTGATTCCTTCTTGACTTCCTCGATAGGTGGGAGCTCCCAGTTTTTTTTCCTGCGCTTCGGTTCCCGCACAGAATCTTCCCTCACTTGGGTGTATAGGATGGATTGCTGCCTCTGCTTTACCTCTTCCTTTTTTCCAGCGGATTTTCTAGTTTTGGCTCTTTCCCGAGAAAATGCTTTCCTATCGAAGGGGTCCCTCTCGTCACGAATGAATTCTTGAATGGAGGGTACGATGGCCTTTGTTGGCTTTGGTAGTGATTGCTTGACAACGGGCACCGGGATCTGGCAGTGCCCGATGAAAACGGTCTCCTGAACCTTCGCTTCACCCCTATCCTGCCTCTCTTTAACCTCCAAGGCCTCATCTTTGCCCTCTTTAGCCTCCGGGAACCGGTCTCCTCCGGGCTCTAATCGGTGTTCCATCGGGTGCCCTAGAGCTACTTTCAATGCTCCCCACCTCCCCATCTCTTTCCTTTCCAATTTCTTCAACTTCTTCCTGGTCTCTTTTGACTGCCTCATCTCTCCTACCCTCTTCTTGGCCTCCTTCTTCATGGTCGGGAGTTTCCGATCACCCCTACCCTTAACTTCATGCGAGCCCTCTCCAACCCCCTCACCATTACCACTCTCCACTACTCTCGCCGCTCTCCTCTGCAACACCGCCGACCTCGCATCCTCCAGCAAGTCCGCACCCCAGCCCACAACCGGCAACCCCGTCTCTACCATAGAGCTATGCAGAGAACTCCTCTGCGCCCACGAAGCCTCAATCTTCCTGCGAATAAACTCAATCGTGCGCTTTGACTCGGCCTCCCGCGCCTGTGACTCGGGTTCGAGTTCGGGCAGTTTTAATATCTCAACCTCGGGCTCGTAGCCATGCGAGGCTTGTAGAGGGGTGGAAAGGGGCACAGGAGGCGGTGGGGGCAGGAGTCCAGATAATCTGCCATCATCACTAGCCAATACGAGCTCGTTCATTGTTGTGATGGGCGGGCCAAACGGGATGTAGTCATCGTCGCTGGGCAGGGGTAGTGCGGACCCGCTGGCAAGCGTGGATTGTAACCTCTGACTTATGTGGAATGGCACTCGGGTGCATGGACTGAATCTCTGCTGCTGTTGCCGGAAGTAATAGTGCTGAAGTCGTGGCCGTAGGCATGGTATGGGTGCCGCTATCGAGCCCTGCAGGAAAATTCGCAGCACACGGGATGTGCAATTGTAACAAGGCATCAGATAAAGAGCCCCCCAAAAGGAAGGAAAATCGGAAGGAAGGAGGGGAAAGGAATGGACTGGAATTTTTAGTTGGGTTGGGGTAACGAGAAGTGGGGGAGGAAATGTTTGGACGGAGACTTTTTTTTTCTTTCCCAAGCCACTTTACTTCCCACTACTTTTCCAGATACCAGTATGGGAAGAGATGGGGTTGGCTTTTCCGGCGTATTTGTGGGCATGGCAAAAGCGCCGCAGGACCTACAACAACCATTTTACCCGATGATTTTGGGGTGAGGTTAGGTTTGATGTTGTGGAGACGCTCACAACAGAAACATTCCAGTATGCTGCCGATTCTGGTACGCTGGTGGTATCATAGTAGGGACTGTCTTTGTTTTAAGTTCAAAGGTAGATTATTGATGGTGGGCAGGAGTAATCAGAGGCTCGATGGCAGTGGTATACTCGCGCCAAGGTTGTGGCTAGCAGCCACAACCCCTGGTTACTCGCTGTCTGGCAACCTTGGGCACTCCTCCAAAGTGCCTGACGTTCAATATGACTACAATTCAACATGACTTTGTGGCTTATGATGGGTTTAAAGCAATAGAATATAACTAACTACATCAGCAAAAAAAACAACAACTCTATTTCAGATGTATCAACTGTACATTGTGACATAAATGTTCGGTTGCCCATATCTTGTACAGTCGTGTCTAATAAGTCATCGTACGGTTGCTGGCAACCATACCACCCCACAATTCAAAGTAATTGACAACACAAATTTATAGATAATAATACCATAATAAAGCAGGTGGTTGAATATTCTGAAATTTCCCTATTACCCAATTTTTGGAAATCTTTGTAAAGTAGGAAGGTTAGGAGAAAATCACAAAGAGTTAATATGAAATAACTATATCAGATTTAGACATTAATTATAACAATTTTTTTGTTTTTAATTGATCATGCAAATCATATTTAATATACTATTTAAAATGCTTAAAGAGATAGTAAAGCATATGCTGAAGTCTGCATTCCAGTAGTTCTATTTGCCGATTTTCTATATTAATACTTCTGGGAGAGAGAGTTTGGTACAAAATTTGTACTATTAAAATATTTTATTCCTAACTATAACAGCACCTGAGTTCAAATCTGATTTTAAAAGTAAGATACTACTATAGTTACAATATTTTAGAAACCTACATATAAAAAATAAACAAGTTTTCTACTTCAAATTATAGTAAAATCATAAGTAATTAATCAATCTCATGATATTTAACTTAGTATTTGTTAGAAGAATTATAAAAATGTTTTACTCTCATAGCATGTTTTAATGTATCTTTATCTCCTATTCTATATATTATATTATTTTTAGGATTTTTCTTTAACCTTGAACTTCTTGTTTACTTAGTTGTATTTTAGATACAAAATTCCTGCTGAACTTATTAGATTATCATGGTTCAAGAGAACTAGAAGCTATATATTTGTATGTCTGATCCGATTCACTACAAGACATTATACCTATAGATTCAATTCTAATTATACATTGATATGGTTTGTACTCAGTAATATATATTATATTTTTGTTTACTTACTGTATACAGTATAGTATGTTATACTACAGTATAATATCCTTTACAATTAGTTTATAATTAAATAAATACTTCTATATGTCATCTAACATATATTCAATATATAGGCACTAGTAATTAAAACTAATATTGCTAGAACTAAAAGATTATTTAATATTTTTAGTCTACTATTAGTCTAAAAACCTATATATATATTACCAGTTCTAATTAAAGATATACAAGTTAATTTTTAGTTTAAGAACTCCATAGACTTATTCATTAGAAGCTATAGGTTAATTTTGAACCAAGCAATTATTGTCTTTTATTAATTTATGGGGTGGGAAACTCAAAATCAAGGAGGGTGTCTGGCTGTAGTGTGGTTGCTATGGACCGTACGAGGACTTTTCAGATACGACTGTACATTTAGGGTATCCTGATTATCAGGTTACCTCCTGTATGCTTAGAGTTACTCCTAAGTGAGAATGTGGTAATTTTCACCTTCTGATTTGGTCTGGTCAACCTTAATTCTTATTAATATTCTGATGTAAGACAGAAGACAGTTTTAAGCATAACACGAAGTTACATAGTGTGTATGCTTTTTTTTTATTTTTTATTTCTTATATCATGTATTCATTATTAAGATACAAGAACATGCATATAGCATGAGCTATGGCATAAACAAAATCATAAAACATGTATCCCTCCTCTATCTTGAGTGAAAACCAAGAGCTCCAAGCCCTTCTGGTATGGAGTCAACTACATATCTGTTAGGTGGAGATAATCTGATAGACTTCAGAATTGTCTAGGCCAATCGAAATTTGTTTCTATAGATGATGATTGTGTAGGAAGGCTCGGATTCACTCCTTTCGCTTATGACTACTAGGAGTGAAGTAAATTCAGTAAAGTAAAATAGAATCGTAAAAACAATATTATATTATTAAAGTCTCTTCTCCATTGCTTGATAATGTCTACAGCTTGGGAGGTACTTCGATATTTATATTCCGCATCTGAGTATTCGCAGACTACATCTATTTAT